AATGTTATACCGTAGCTATAATGTAAATTTATAGCTGTCCAGAATGAGAAAAGCATTATGAAGATGCTCCAAAAGCAGGCTGGATGTGTACCGTGCACTTTGTAGTCGCATGAGAATTGCACACATTACGATAGCAAAAGCAACTTTTGTATTATGCCTTCATATCTTCTCCTCTCCTTTTCGGTATGTTGATTTAGCTGATTTCTTGTTGCTTGTTGCCTTGTATTATTTTTTATTTAGTATATTATAATTTAGTATTATTATAATTTAGTATTTTAGTCAGTATATTTTTGTTCAGTGTTTTGACTGTCCAATTTCTAACAATTAATTTAGAGTTACACACGTTTCACTAAAGTTTATAGGAAAAGTAAGATGTCTACAATGAGTGCCTTAAAAAATATGTTGAAAAAAATTGCTAAATATAATTATAGACGGTCCTAAGCTTGCTCAGTTATATTTTTTTCAAAAACGTTACCGTTCGATTGTCAATAATTTTAAACACTAGTATCATACATTGTACACACTTGTATCAAAGTCGTGAATAAATTGTTACTGGATGAATAAATTATAGTAAATGGTATCGACAGAAATGAAGTGGTTGTTCATTAAAAGAAAAAAGAAGAAAAAGAAAAATCTAATGTAAGAATCCCAAGTTAAAGATATCAGTAGAAAGTACATATCACAAACAAGAGTTTATATTTTAAAGATTCGCGTATCGAACAGCGTCCAGTAAATTTCGCGACGAATGGCTAAAATCCTGCCAATAATCAATGACGAAATAACGCTCGGGAAACGCCGAGCAGAGGTTCGTGTGAATGGAAAATCTTTGGTACAGATGAAAATCAAGCGTGTCGCGGGAACAAGTGAAAAAGATTTTTTTGTTTTCGGTCGGAGCACGCGAGGCGCTGACGTCGGCGTCGCGGCGCGATCGAACTCTCTTCGAAGCGCGTCGGCGACGGAAAGAGCGCGAGGAGTGTCGACGCATGGAGAGCGAGAGAGAGAGAGAAAGTAAGAGCGCGAGGGAGGGGGAGAGCCCGGCGAATTTGATCGATTCACTTGTCAGGTGAAAACGCGACGACCGCGAATATCGCGGTTGTATTTTCGCGACATGCCCTCTGTCGGCAGGTACGCCAATCGAGGGCTCTTAAGTTCGATCGATACTCTGTCGGTCGATCGTTTCGGAGACCTCCCCGGCTGTCAATCACTCGCGCGGAATAAAAACGCGCGAGCGAATCACCGATCCTTCTCGGTTCTTTAGACCGCGGCTTACCATTGCGCGCGTCTTCTTCGAAACGATCCACGTCCAGCCGATCAATCAGTTGACCCCTTTCGAATTCCGGACGCAAGGATCTACAGCAGCAATCACAAATGTAAGTCGATGAATTTTAGTTTCGATTCTACGCACATTATACACGTATGTTGCAGTGGAATCCTTATAATACAAATGTTTATTCAAACTGAACAATCACAGCAGCGTGTACTTGCGTATTCAGCGTAATAGTAATACATATAATATAATATAATATGATATATTATAATATAATATAATGTAATATAATATAATATAATATAATATAATATAATATAATATAATATATTATAATATAATATAATGTAATATAATATAATATAATATAATATAATATAATATAATATAATATAATATAATATAATATAATATAGTATAATATAATATAATATAATATAATATAATATAATATAATATAAAATGATATAATATAATGTAATATTATATAATTATATATACATATAATATAATATAATATGAAGTAATTTTAACTGTATAAAAGTCTGTGAAACGAAACACGAACTGCTCGTTGCTCTGTGGCTCGGACGAAACTGAAAAACAGTCGGTTACAAACTAATAGTGCCTTCGACCGTTCGACCGCGGCACCGCGGAAGACCCAAAATCAAAACACGCACTCAAATTCGCACGACCATACATCGTTGACTTATTTATTTAGATTGTTCCGTTTCGAAGTCTCCACAGATGCAGGTGTTGCACTCTCTTAATTTGAAAATTTTTAGGTATGTCTATGCTTAATTTGTTTCGATTAATGTTTTTATTATGTTTCTGTTACGTTTATACTTCATTTTATTGGTTTCGTAATATCAATTTCGTTTCGGTCTTAAGTAGTTGGCCACAGGTAAAACGACACGGAGTCAGAAAATAATATAAATTTGTGTAATATAATAAATAAATAAATAAATTAGAAGCAAAATTTTCTTATTATTGCGATATGTTATTTCAATATTACATATTATAAAAATTAAACTCCGTTAAATAATATATTAATGGTACATACTTATTTGCTGAAATCACTGATGGTCTTAAGCAGCTGACCGCCACTATTGTCTATGAAATTTAAGAAAGACACAGTTGTTTTTGTGTTTCTGGTCATCTAACTTCTACGATCGACAGACATTGGTTTGCGACGGTCTGTCTAGCGAAGAACATTTGACAAAGTCGTTTGTTATATTTTAGTATTTATTTATATGTTAACGGGTATACACCCTTGGTACACATAGAGTGAGTTATTCACAGTAGATGATACAATGTTTAACGGCAAGTTCAAAATTACAGAACGAAAAATATCGATACGGTTGCAATATTTATTTGCACGTATAAAAATCCTATTCGCTCAACATATGTATGTATTACGTTGCACTTCTCATTATGGGATCCATCATGACCCTGGCAGGTATGTCAGTCATTTTTGTGAAAATCGTTATATCGGTCAAGGGTTCGTGAAATACACGAATCGCTTTGTATAGGCGTTTTTATTTTTCATTTAATTAAAAAATGTGTAGGAATTGAGGTGAAATCCATTCCACACAGTATACCATCAACGATTTGTATACACTCTGGCAGAACAAGAATGCGTATCTAATAATCGAGGTGGAGTCTTATAGCGAAAATTTGCTGCTCGAAATGGTAAACAGTAATGGCAGTAATTATCGGGAACGGGCGCATTGATTTATGCGTTTTGAAAATTTTATTGGGAGTACCGCATCGCTTCTAGAACTTCATAAAAATTCATTTAGATTGTATAGTTATATTTTAACGAAGTCTGATTGCTGTGGATTTACTACTAGAAATGGCAGACAGTAATTGGAATAATAATGGACAGCAGATGCATTGATCTGTACGCTTTGAAAAATTAAATAGACGTATCGTAGAACCGTAGCACTCCGAACAAAGAGATTTGGATTCGGTCATTACGTTTCGGTCATTTATTGCTGGGAATTAGTCATTATAATTACTGGAAGTAATTATAGATTCCTGCGAAAACGAGTGGCTGCTGTTTAAAATAATCGCAGGAAAAAAAGGAAAATTGTGTGCATCGGTTGCAAGGATCTGGACGAACATTTGTGCCTTTTTAAAATTATTTTAATAAGCTGTGGACGATACAATCGATTCTTTAAAAATCTTCCGATACTTTTACTAATATCTATCACTCTCGTTTCTATCGCCTCTGCATAAAATTCTCACTTTGGCATATTACTGTGTGTAAATCTGATTAAAAGCAGAATATTTCGTAGAATTTCATAAACTTTGATCAGAAGTGAATATAGTGTCTCCGCAGCGAAACCTTATCGCTGCAACTCTAGTTTTTGTTGCTCGAAATGTCAATTGCATCATTTATTACGAACAAGTTTATCGATGTATGCGCATTGGAAACCTCATTGATACCAAAATGTGCTACGACAGCTCATAAAAAGAGTGTCTTATTACGCCACAAATCTGTCGCGCGAAACGTTAAACATTAATTAGAGTAATTATTACGAACAGGTTCTTTGATCGATCTGCATTGACTTTATCCGATGTAGACTGCCCTGATGTACTTAATCAGTGATTTCAAGTCAATCATTATACAATATATTATTAGATATTAGATAAAGTGTAATTAAATATAGAAAAATATAAATATAAATAAAAAATATTATAAAAAATATAAATCAATGATCTTAAAATTTTTATTGGAAGTATAACGTACCGTAGGACTTACAAAGAAGAATGTCTTTGGACAAACATATTTGCTGGTCGATATTAAGAAAAATTGGATATCGTAGCAAATTAATGAAGAAATGGAAAAAATGTTCTGAATAATGATTGTTTCCTGATACCATGATATTAGACCACCGTAAAGTATAAAATTAAACTCTTTTTATGGACAATTTTCCGTGATGAGTGTTGAAAATTGTATTCGCAACGACCAGTCGAATTTTACACGATTAGCTTGCACTTTATTAGCATAGTTTACCACAGAATAAATTGGCGAAGCATTTTCCAAAATCCTGCGCTCTCCAATTTACCGGGATCATTTAAATGATCTTCGTTCTGTAATGAGGGCCTCTGATTATTTGCACTAATTATAATGCCTGCATCAAGCCTCGAATCGACACGAAATTAACATCATTCCTTTTTCGCATAATGCAATGCATTGTGTGTGCGCGTCCGAAACCTCGTGAAATTATCTAAATTTTTCATTCCAATTCATAGAACAATTTACGCTCCGTTCAATTCATTCAATAATCACGTTATAACAGATTCATCCAGCTGTATCATAATTTTTACGATAATTTCGATTACATCAACTTACGACAATATCGATTACAATTAACTTGTAACATGTTTTCCTGACATATTTTGCAGGTGATATGTCGCAGTCAACGAGTTAATTATTTAACAGAAATTTATAATTGTTTTTCGTACAACAACGTCAAAAGCAGCGATTATATTATGTCATTGAGAACGGTTCATATATTCTCTTAAAAAGAAGATCGTTATCGCTATCAAAACCATTGATTAATTTCACGCACTACGATTTCTCTCCTACGTTGATTAGCAATTCGTCGTCCCGAACGATTTCCCGGATAGAACGAGGCTATTTTTGTTTCTGCTTTTGTTACTTTCGTTCCTAGATCCTGATGTCAGACGAATCAAATTTCGTTTCAATTTCGAAGAGATGAATAACATTTATATTCGACTCGGAACAATTGACAGTCGATCGCAACCTTTCGTGGCAACAGGTGTGGCAACAGAAAAGTGTTATCGTTCAGAATATACATGCGTTCGCGCTGTAATAGAATTTCACTGCTGCTATTTCGTTCTCGATTCAACAGTTACCAAGATCTACAGAACGCATTTTTTACATTTTCGTTGCAGGCTCAAATAAAAGAGTTGAGAAACCAGAGCTTTTTAGTTTCTACTAGTGCTTCTATCGTCTAAAAAAATTTTTTGGTATAACGTGAACTTGGATTACGAAATTGATTCGATCATTTTCTACGAGTGATTCTTCGTAACTTCGATAATTTGAAATTACATTGCAAGATTCGAATAAAATTCCCCCATGCAAATTAATGTGCAAGATCGTCGGATAGCGAAGTCGGTTACTGTGCGATGCCTTCGGTTTGTCTCCGGAGATGATTAACTTTATATTTATCGAATGAGACACATTCGATTTTTCTATTCTTTCATTTTGTTTACTAACGGATGAAAGAATTGAACTTATACGTACAATATAAAAATATTAGGTCTACCGGAAAGTTCTGTCCGATAGTGTTACTTCAAGTTTCAATCCATATGCACGCGTTGATTTGAGACATATATGACTATCTCTCTTTATCATTGCATTTACACGCATGTACTCTCCGAAATAAACTGAAACAAAGATGTCTCATGTCATTATTAAGTGAGACGCGATCGTGAAAACATGGCTACCGATGATAATGCCAGACCACATGCTGCTTTGGCGACTCGTCAGAAAATCGCAGAGCTAGGCTGGGAAATTCTGTCGCATCCACCATACTCCCCAGACCTAGCACCCTCCGATTATCACTTGTTTCTCTCTTTGCAAAACTTTTTACAGGAAAAAAAATTCAAAACTGAAGCTGATGTCAACCAAGCACTAGTCGAGTTCTTCGCCTCTAAAAATAAATCATTTTTTGAAAATGGCATTTACAAGTTGCCATCACGCTGGCAAGAAGTCATAAGTAACGATGGAAAGTATATTCTACAATAAATATTATTAAATGTATGAAAATTGTGTTATATTTCAATTCAAAAACGGACAGAACTTCCCGGTAGACCTAATATATTGTAGCGAATGGATGAAAGGAAAGCAGCAAATGCGTTAATTTTAATACAAAAATTTATTTGTAAATAGAAAGCGAGTATTTCTAGATGTAACTACATCTCTCTACACAAAGCTTTCTAAAATGACTTTTCTCCCTGATAATTCGGTGAACAGCTACCGCTGCTTAATTAGCACAAGGTATGCATAATGATCAAAGAACAATCTTGAAGTGGTATTGATCCATATCGGATAGAACAAAAGACAAGAAA